TTGGAAAGAAAGGGAAAGTCTCATCTGACAGTAGGGTGAAAGTGTTCCTTCCTGAGAAGGCTGCAGTGGGAGCTCATCACTTAATTATCTGAGAGTTAATACTGGGAAGCAGAAAATAGGTAAAGAGCAAGTGAAGACAGACAGGGAGACTTTGCAAACAGCAAGTGCTTCTTCATGGAAACCAGTAAGTGAAGCTCAAGAGAAACCTCAAGCTGCCTTAACTCTGATTGGTATAAAACAAATCCCCAAATCTCCTACCAGTCAGCACAAGCTGAACATGTAGCCAACATGGTGCTTCCTGGAGCGGAGAAATCTGTGTTTTCATTCATTTTCATTTCATTCATTCTCATTTCAACTTTTGGAAGATCTTCATTTTTACACGGGGCCAGTTTCAGAGGGTATCAGCTGGGCTCTGCGAAGCAGAAGCACCTCCAGTCTCTCTTGGGATTCTCTCTGTTTTATAAACAAATAGTTTCCTATTTCTTGTGAGCCTCTGCCCAGCTCTCTCCAAATTCCTTTCTGGTTTACTGTAATTGCTGTTAATGACAACTCTCCCTGTTGGCTTTAAGAGGGTTAAATTTCTAATGCTAAAGTTTTGGTAGGGCCATTAATAGGTGGGATAGGAACCTTACAGATGCATCTTTGCCTTTCAGAAAACCACATGTAAACATGTATGTGCAAATAGAATAGCAGTTTATTGTCTAGCTAGAATCTAAAATGTGTTTATCAGAATATATTAATCATTGAATATTTTATAGACTATTCCATGGGACCTGTGGCTTCAGGATACCTGCTTGGATTGAAAAAATACCTGGTAGGATCTTGCTCACCTAAGAAAAGCATCAGAATTACGCCCCAATTAAGATGATCAGAAAACTAACACTTGCCAAAGGCTTCTGAGCGTGTGGCTCGATGACTGCAGAAGTCAGGAAGAGCCAGGCTAGGAGACCTTGCCTCCTTACAGCCTGACCTGCAGATCCATCGTCTCCTTTGGGCCAGAACTGCAAGTTCAGGGAGGTGGCTGGGTGGAAAACTATCTCAAAAACAACTGGAAAACCTCACCTTCCATTTAGGTTGGGTCAAGCTGCTGTGGAGCTTCTTCCTCGGTTCCTTACGTAGGTGTGAAACGTGCTCTGAAAACTTTCAGTGAGAAAGCCTGTCAGCCTAAAGGTTTCTGAAGATTTAAGTGTGTGACCTTTTTTTGCTGCATCGGAGCAGCGATACTGGGATTGCTTTAAGCTCGGAATGAGCTTTTCTTATTCCCCCCACCCCTCCCAAGCAAGCAGGATTTTTCTGCTTGTGCTGGTGGGACGAGGTGGCTCAGCCCACACGAGTCTTGCTAAACAAGAGGTGTTTGGTCTACGTGCTGCAGGTAATTATGAGCGTTGCTTTCAAGTTTATTGCCCCCACAGAGTTTTGCCTCGGGCTTTTTTTTTTTTTTTGCAGTGAGCTGACAGTGCTCTT